TCGAGCGTCCACAAGCTCTTGTTCTGCGGCAGGCTCAATCCGCTCGTGAATTGAAGCCACGATTCCGGCAGCAGCGAGAGCATCTTCAGGCACTTGGTCTGCTCCGGGTAGGTGATTCCCGCGGTTGCCAACTTCGCGTAGAGGTCGCGCAATTTGTCCAGGACAGGTTGCACCGGCTCTCCCTCGCTCAGGCGCAACGCGGACAGCTCCTTCTCCAGCATCAATGTTGCAACAACGGAGGTCGGGGCGTGCAGCTCCTTCAATACGGTCCACGCCTTCGGACCGCACTCAACCTCCGGCAGCAAGTGCATGACGTGGTGACGCTGGTTCAACTCCAAACTCTGCGACATCAAATAGTAGCCAGCCGAGGCGCGCTCGTCCCAATCTTCCTGAAGGGCGGGGTCACTCGGTCTAGGCTCCTCCCCAATCATTAGTTTCAGCAATCCGATCTGACGGAAATAAAGTTGCATTTTCCAGGCCCTATCATCATAGCCCTCACCATTGAACTTCTCGACGATGAAGTTTTTCAGCACCTCCTTGATCAGCGAGCCCTGGCTTGTTCGCGCTCCCCTTGGCGCAGAAACACCAAAATCATGGCTGCCGCTACGATCTTGAGCTGAAGATTCACTAGCTACCGCCGAGGTGTTGCCCGCCATAGCCACCTATAACGAGGATCACTATAACGCAGCTCTGATACCAGCTTGTTGGTGTAAAGACTTAATAAACTCAAGCTATTAAGACTTTATCACACTTAAAAACCTCTCCTCGGGGTCACCTCCAAGGGTCCTTGGGTGTCTGGTACAAGACCAGCCCCTATCCTCGGGTCCGAGTTTGTAGAGAGAGGGATCAAGAGGGAGTTAGTCAAAACAGCAAGAGTACCTTGAACGGCGCGCAGCGTATCGTGCAGACCGTAGATCGGATTAAGCTGAGAATTTACTATATCGAAGCTCACTCTAAGAGCTTTAAAATAAGCCAAGTTGCCTCGCGAAAAGTTTTGCCATTACGAAGTTATGGCTCGGACACCGTTAGCCTAGCGTTGGAGTGGTAGCGTACTAGCGTTGACTCGGGTAGCATTCCACCGTCGCACCGCATAGAAACGAAATTCCAGGAAGGGTAGAATTCGCTTAAATCAGTTTCACTATATTCAGGTACAAGCAGAGAAGGAATAAATAGCTCTAGCTAGCAAGGACCTTGGGAATCAACCTTGGAACAACCAGGGATGATCCCAAATAATTCCAAGCAACAAAATCAACCTGGCTGAACAAAATAGCAGGTGGTAGGTTGGTGAACAATCTCTGGTTCTGTTTTTCCAACCTGAGAAAACAATAATCAAGTTCAGGTCCTAAAAACTTGTTTTTTATTTGCACAACTAGCAAAATGCTGGTTCCGCTAATTTCCCCTGGCCCTGTAGCATACAGATACAGATGAACAACATCCAACCTTCACCTAAATTGTACTCTTATACTGTCTGCCCTGCTACACTATAGTCAACCAAACAAAACAGTACAATTTCGAGTTGGATAGAACTGAATCAGCGCAATCAAGTAAGCCGAACCGCAAAGCTTCCATCTTGGGTTCTTTTGCAAGCTCGTCCTTTCTGCTTGTACTATTCATAGCGCGTACAATGTTATGCCGAAGCGCACATTGTGCGAGTACCTGCAAATGCTTCAAGCGAAAATTGCGAAAGCAAACAAACACACGAACATACCATTCACACGCAAATGCATTCGCACACGCATACTCGTACAAACAGACGGCAGGATGTCGTGCAATGTGAATTTGCACCCAACACTGTCAAGGTTTCAGGCAGTCAAGGGTTCAGCCAGTCAAGGGTTCAGGCAGTCAAGGTGTCAGGCAATCAAGGTGTCAGGCAGTCAAGGATTCAGGCAGTCAAAGTTTCAGACAGTCAAGGTTTCAAGCACTCAATGATTAAGTCAATCAAGGTATCAAGCAGTCAAGGTGTCAGGCAGTCAAGGATTCAGGCAGTCAAGGTTTCAGGCAGTCAAGGATTAGTCCGTCAAGGTTTCAGGCAGTCAAGGTGTCAGGAAGTCAAGGTGTCAGGCAGTCGAGGATACAGTCCGTCAAGGTTTCAGGCAGTCAAGGTTCCAGGCAGTTAAGGTGTCAGGCAGTCAAGGATTCAGGCTGGCAAGGTTTCAGGCAATCAAGGTTTCAGGCAGTCAAGGTGTCAGGCAGTCAAGGTTTCAGTCCGTCAAGGTTTCAGGCAGTCAAGGATTCAGTCTGTCAAGGTTTCAGGCAGTCAAGGATTCAGGCAGTCAAGGTGTCAGGTAGTCAAGGTGTTAGGCAGTCAAGGTTTCAGGCGGTCAAGGTGTCAGGCAGTCAAGGTATCAGGCAGTCAAGGTTTCAGGCAGTCAAGGTTTCAGGCAGTCAAGGTTTCAGGCAGTCGAGGATTCAGTCCGTCAAGGTTTCAGGCAGTCAAGGATTTAGGCAGTCAAGGTGTAAGGAAGTCAAGGTGTTAGGCAGTCCAGGTTTCAGGCAGTCAAGGTGTCAGGCAGTCAAGGTATCAGGCAGTCAAGGTATCAGGCAGTCAAGGTTTCAGGCAGTCAAGGTTTCAGGCAGTCAAGGTTTCAGGCAGTCAAGGTTTCACGCAGTCAAGGTTTCAGGCAGTCCGCGTTCTAGGCAGGAGCAGGAGCAGTGGCAGCGGGTGGGTGAGGTAGGGACTTAGCTTGGGGTGGGACGGCAGGTGGGCCTTGGTTGGCAAGTCGCGAGTTGCTTCAGGGCACCCACCAGCGTGGCACTCGACAGCGGGATGTTGGAAGTGTGGGGGACGGGATTGCCCCCCACGCGAAGACCTCCCTTGACTCGGACCAAGGGAGGGTTCGTTCTTGGAAGGTTGGGGTGACGGCGGATTGTCCGCGTCGCCACGCAACCGAACTTTCCCCAGATTGAGTCCGAACATTTGTGGGGGCGACACTTGGCAGCCCCACAAGCATGCACGAAAATAGCGAGGGTGCAAGCGAATGTTACGAACATTTCGCTACACTCGCTATTGATCCTTGTAACACACGATTGTCGGCGTGAAAAAACGAACCCGGCAAAGTCCGAAATTATGAACGCGGACGTCGCGGAAATTAGACGCGATCCTGAGTCCGAATTTCTGGCGAGTCGCGCGCGGTTCGATGTTACAATTCTGCATGAGTGTTTTAGTTATAAATCCAGAGAGCAAAACAGAGAGTTCATTCCTTGTACGACTTGTGTACCTATCTTCATATAAACAACATTTTCTCTCTCAACTCTTGGGCGATTTCAGTGATCTAAGTTGCTACGGAATCCTTGCTCCGAGCCCGTCGGATTGATCCTAGGCTCTGGTTTTAACTCGCTAAGCTGAGTCTGTGGCTTCAGTTAACCCAGGGCGGTTTCTTACACGGGGGAACGGCTGGCGCACGGCGGCCTGCAGTGGGTGGACAGACGCGGCGAAACGTACGTCAGGGAAGCACGAGACGACGCACTGTGATACAGAATCGATCTGCGAAATTAGATCGCGAAGCTAAAAGTCGGGATTTTGCAGAATTGAAACGGGAAACTGAAACGGGAAATTCGCGAGATTGACTTCTTGAATGGGTGTGGTTTCGCGAAATACCTGAGCTGCCAGTCGCACGCACGACCCGAAATCGCACGCACTCTACAGAATCGCTCGCACTTAGTTCTTTCGTAGTCAAAGTTTCCAGGCTTCACGCGCGATTTCCTATTCCGACACGCCATTTCCTCTTCTCGACACGCGATTTCCTATTCCGACACGCCATTTCCTCTCCTGACATGCGATCTCCTCTTTCCGACACGCCATTTCCTCTTCCCGACACGCCATTTCCTCTTCCCGACACGCAATTTCCTCTTCCCGTTAACGCAGCATCTACATCAAGCCAGGCCTGAATAGAGAATGATAATACTAGCGGCTCGCCTTTCCGCAGTCGCAGCAGCTCGAAGAAAACGAGCCGAAGAAGTTGAGCGTGAAAATATGAGAGCAATAGGCGAAAGCGCTGTGAAATCCGAGGCTCAGCGAGAATGAGGCGAGAGACGACGGTGACGCTGGAATGAGGCGGAGGGGTCACCAACTGCCTTTCCTCTCCTCTCCTCACAACCACCCTCGTCAGATCTACCGTCCAGAATCACTGGATTGACTGAAACTCTCTTGGTACCTCAGATCTCAGCCGTAGGTTCGGACCTTTGCGTTTTTCGTCACGGCAACCCCTAGCAGCTCCGCATTGGTCTACAGGCTAACCGGCTGTGTTGGGTCGCGAGGAAAATTGAAGTTGGAGGCGAATGGTTGGTCCGGTCAGGCTTATTTTTTGTCGATGATAGGGAGCTTCGAGATTCCACTTCTGTGGCGGTTGAAAATCGTCCGCGTGGCACATCTATCTGCTGGTCAGGGAAGGGAAAAGTGGGCGAAAGTATTTGCTCTTGAACCCGCTATTAGCTGTTCTCCTTGTTTGTGTCTCTTGTGCCGGAAGTGCGAACATTTACGTAGTGTTCCGCGTCCATACGAACGGTACATCTGTAGTGTTCCGCTGACATCCATTGCACCAATCAGCTTACCCCAGTTACCGCTCCCCTGATCATATCTGCTGCCTGCCATCCACTGTGTACGCAGCTCAAGCTGGTGATGTATGTAGTGAAGCATTACCGTACCCAAACTTACTTTATGGTATCGTAACGTACCATACCGCACTGCATCATACACCATCATGCAATGCCATCACTCACTTCCATCATCCCCACCCCATCCCATCTCCAGTTTCTCCAGCCACCTCGAGATTCTCTGCATCTTCTTTTCAACTTCGATTTTCAAGAAGCAAGTGACGTTTTCAAGTTGCTTTCTTCAGATTCTCAGGAAGCAAGTGCGGTTATTCCACATTAGGAATCAAAGACGATAAGCTAACTAACTGATACGCCGTCAGCAGTTCAGGCGCTTCGAAATGGCCGCTTCGCCAGCCGTCGGATCTCGGCGGTTGGGTAATGGAGGACTCGACGATATCGATCACGCGATGCAGGTATTCTGCCGTGACACCATGCGACGCACAGCAGGGCCATCCGTTTAACTGTTTGCTCTGTTCGTGTCGCTTAACTCAACGCTTTGTTCCACGTTTGATGTTTCACGATCCACGTTCTCCAACTGACACGTGTCAGAACGCTAGGCCTGTCACATCTGTCCGTGAAGGTCGGTAGGATCCAGATCCGTTTGCTCGTAGCGCATCGATAACACCACCGTGCCTGGATCGGTAGGATCCTCGGTGTAGCGATCTCTGATACCCGCATGATAGAAGTCTGCCAACGGCAATGCTTTGTTTAGATGTATCACGCATCTAGCCGGAGAGAGAGCCCGGGACCTCGAGATCCCCTTCTGTACCACATCCGTGCATGCAGTTTCATCATGCGCCTTCACGTTTCCTTGAGCCTGGCTCTATGCTTCGTTGTCCTCTCACACATGCCTGTGCTTTCGGTTTCCAGTCTGTCCTTTCCGTCTCGTCAAACCTCGATTCGTCCTTCATCATTCGCCCGCATATTCTTCCTGTCACCAAACTCAGCCTCCGCTCCCTCCGCTTCCTTCGTTCTCCATGGCATCGCATGTCGGACGTGCCATGGCTGCATGACGTGGCATGGGTGCATGACGTGCCATGGTTCCATGACGTGGCATGGCTGCATGACGTGGCGTGGTCGCACGACCGTAGTCCAGCAAGGATGCGCACCTGTCCGGCTTCTGCATCGCGTCCGACATCACCACCTTCCAGAACCGCCCAGGCAGCGCCGGCCGCGAGCCCTTCATTATCGGTCAGTCGGTCGGCTGCACAAGGGAGAGGACGTCTGTTGAGTGACGGCCGAGAAGGAAGCAAGCGAGTGTTGCCTCGTTCGCTATCTGGCAGGCTTCTGCACCGCACGAAACCTCGTCCCCGCCCCTTCTAACCCTGAAATCTCCACTGCCAACCCCCAAACCCAACCCCTGCCCGTCCCCTACCCTTACCCATATCCATACCTCTACCCCTACTCCACACTCTCCTCGCCTCATCCCTTCTGCCCTTTGGTCGAGTTGCATGGCGCCAGGCAAGGCGACGCTGTGTGAGCAGATCGTACAGCAGCCGTTGCTCTGCATACGTCATCCTCTTCTCTATCCCCCACACATTTGTTGCCTCCCTTCACTCGTCTTATCTTTCTCCAGGAGTGTTGGGGGGAACAGCGTCGGGCAAGACGACGGTGTGCGAGCAGATAATACAGCAGCTGAGGGACCACCGCGTGGTGCTTGACCAGGACTCCTCTTCACTCCTCTCCGCCCCTCTCCATCCCACTCGCTGTCACTCCTCACCTCACCATCACTCTCTCCCGGCAGGAGTGTCAGGGGGAACAGCGTCGGGCAAGACGACGGTGTGCGAGCAGATCATACAGCAGCTGTTGCACTGCATACGTCATCCTCTCCTCTATTCCCCACACATGTGTTGTCACCTCTCACTTGTCACCCTTCATTTGTCTTACTCCAGGATGTCAGGGGGAACAGTGTCGGGCAAGACGACGGTGTGTGAGCAGATAATACCATCCTTCACCCACTCTCTATGTCATTCGCCACCCTCACCATCACTCCTTCCCGACAGGCGTGTCAGGTGGCACGGCATCGGGCAAGACGACGGTGTGCGAGCAGATTATACAGCAGCTGAGGGACCACCGCGTGGTGCTCATCGACCAGGACTCCTTCTACCGCTCCCTCACGCCCGAGGAGCTCGATAGAGTCACCGAGTACAACTTCGACCACCCAGGCACGCCCTTACCCGCCTCATAACACACCCAGGCACGTTGCCACTCAACCCATTATACGCCTTCCACCGCGTCCTCACCACACTGGCTCCACCCAGTTGTTGAGTGCAAATTTTATGACCACCCGAGCATGCTGCAGCTGGGAGTACGTGCATTGGCTCGCATTGAGGCCACCGGTTCTGGTTGACTTGCATCAGCCTCTCAAACTCGCGTTACACTTGCATCGTTGCGTATGCGTGTGCATGTGCCTGTGCATGTGCATGTGCCTGTGCATGTGCGTATGCCTGTGCGTGTGCGTGTGCATGTGCCTGTGCGTGTGCATGTGCCTGTGCGTGTGCATGAGCCTGTGCGTGTGCATGTGCATGTGCATGTGCGTGTGCATGTGCTTGTGCATGTGCATGTGCCTGTGCATGTGCATGTGCATGTGCCTGTGCCTGTACTTGTGCATGTGCATGTGCATGAGCATGTGCATGTGTGATGGTGTGGCGTGTGTTGTGTGCCAACAGACGCGTTTGACTCGGAGGCGATGCTGGAGACGATTCAGGGGCTCAAGGAGGGGCGAGCCGTGGACATCCCCACCTACTGCTTCAAGACGCACCGCCGCGGCACCGCCAAGCGCCAGGTGAGGTGCAGCTTTGCCCCACGTGCTGTGTGCCCAGGTGAGGTGCAGCTGTGCCCCACGTGCTGTGTGCCCATGTGAGGTGCAGCTGTGCCCCACGTGCTGTGTGCCCATGTGAGGTGCAGCTGTGCCCCACGTGCTGTGTGCCCATGTGAGGTGCAGCTGTGCCCCACGTGCTGTGTGCCCATGTGAGGTGCAGCTGTGCCCCACGTGCTGTGTGCCCATGTGAGGTGCAGCTGTGCCCCACGTGCTGTGTGCCCATGTGAGGTGCAGCTGTGCCCCACGTGCTGTGTGCCCATGTGAGGTGCAGCTGTGCCCCACGTGCTGTGTGCCCATGTGAGGAGCAGCTGTGCCCCAGGTGCTGTGTGCCCACGTGAGGTGCACGTGCATGGCAACGCGCCGATCATCCAGTTAGTCTCTGTCACACCGTCTCCCTTTTGCCCAATCGTCCTGTCACCATATGTCATGGCATGTCATACCGCCTGAATCCAGCAGGCGAAGTCGTTCTGGTGTTTCACGTACTGATGATAGCATGACGTGGGGCTTGGGGCGCGTCGCACCCTTGTTATTCACTTTTCATCCACCTGTCACCACATGTCACCGCATGTCACCGCATCCCGCTCAACCATAGGTGAACCCAGCAGACGTGGTCATCCTGGAGAACACAGCGTACTGGTGTTCCACGACCCAGCGGTGCGCGCACACATGAACATGACGATCTTTATTGACTCCTGTTGCCCTACCCCCCTGTCCCCCTGTCACCGCACTGCACCACATCTCATCTACCTTCAGGTGAATCCGGAAGCCCAACGCAACCTGCAGCCCAATGCAGCCCGAAGCCCGCAATCCAACGCATGTCACCTCTTATGTGCGCAGGTGAATCCAGCCAGCGTGGTCATCCTGGAGGGCATCCTCGTCTTCCACGACCTGGCCATGCGCGCACACATCAACATGACGATCTTCGTTGATACCCTCTTGTCCTCTCCCCCTGGCTCCCTGACCCCTGTCCCCCTGTCACCGCATCGCGCCACACTGCACCGCATGTCACTGCAGGTGAACCCAGCTGATGTGGTGATACTGGAGGGCATCCTGGTGTTCCACGACCCGGCAGTGCACGCACACATGAAAATGAAGATCTTCGTCGACACCCTGTCTCCCTGTACCCCTGTCACCGCATGTTACCGCATGTCACCGCATCTCATCTACCTTCAGGTGAACCCAGCGGACGTGGTGATACTGGAGGGCATACTGGGGTCCCTAGACCCGGCAGTGCGTGCGCATGAACATCAAGTTTTTCTTTAACACCCTTTTGCCCTATCCCCCTGTCACTCCCTGTCACCGCGTATCACCACATGCCACCGCATGTCACCTCTTATGTGCGCAGGTGAACCCAGCGGACGTGGTCATCTTGGAGGGAATCCTGGTGTTCCACGACCCGGCGGTGCGCGCACACATGAACATGAAGATCTTCGTTGACACCGACGCTGACGTGCGCCTCGCCCGGCGCATCCGCAGAGACACTGTGCACCGCGGAAGAGATGTGCAGAGCGTGATTGAGCAGGTGGGGGGTGGGGAGGGCTGGAGGAGGGTGGGTGGGGCTGGTGGGGGGTGGGCGTGATTGAGCAGGTGGGGGGGGGGGGGGAGGAGGTGGAGCTGGTGGGTGTGGGGGGAAGTGGAGCTGTGGGTGGGTTTGTGGAGTGGAGCAGGTGGGGGGTGAGCGAAGCTGGTATTTCTAGGGGAGGAACGAGCAGAGCGTGATTGAACAGGTGCCGCCTTTGGTGAGAGTTTGTTCTTCATTTGGGTGTGGGGCAGGTTGTTGTAGTGCTGACGCCCTCATCCTCTCCCGTTCCCCTCTCCCCTGTCCCTGCATGCACCGTGCCGTGCCATTCCATGCCATCTGCCATGCTATCTCTGTCACCCGGCAACACCATCTTCCCACCCCGCCAGTACGCCAAGTTTGTGAAGCCGGCGTTTGACGACTTTGTCCTGCCCACCAAGAAGTTTGCTGACATCATCATCCCACGCGGCGGAGACAACCACGTGGCAGTGGACCTCATCGTGCAGCACATCCGCACCAAGCTGGGGCAGCACGATCTACGGAAGATCTACTCGAATGTCTTTGTTATTGAGTCCACATTCCAGGTGAGTGGCAAGCAACTCATCGTGCAGCACATGCGCACCAAGCTGGGCCAGCACGACCTCAGAAAGATCTACTCCAACGTGTTTGTCATCGAGTCCACGTTTCAGGTAATCACGGCTGCTGCACAGTGGGTCAGTGGGACTGCCATGCAACCTCATCGTGCAGCACATCCGCACCAAGACATATTTGAATGTGTTTGTTATCGAATCCACCTTCCAGGTGAGTGGCAAGCAACCGCACTGAGTGAGTGGGTGAGTGTGAGTGGCAGTGGACCTCATCGTGCAGCACATCCGCAGCGTATGAGCGAGCGGTGCAGTGTATGAGCGGGCAGTGCAGCCTATGAGCGGGCGGTGCAGCGTATGAGCGGGTAGTGCAGCGTATGAGTGGGCGGTGCAGCGTATGAGCGGGCGGTGCAGCGTATGAGCGGGCGGTGCAGCGTATGAGCGGGCGGTGCAGTGTATGAGCGGGCGGTGCAGCGTATGAGCGGGCGGTGCAGCGTATGAGCGGGCGGTGCAGCTTATGAGCGGGCGGTGCAGCGTATGAGCGGGCGGTGCAGCGTATGAGCGGGCGGTGCAGCGTATGAGCGGGCGGTGCAGCGTATGAGCGGGCGGTGCAGCGTATGAGCGGGCGGTGCAGCGTATGAGCGGGCGGTGCAGCGTATGAGCGGGCGGTGCAGCGTATGAGCGGGCGGTGCAGCGTATGAGCGGGCGGTGCAGCGTATGAGCGGGCGGTGCAGCGTATGAGCGGGCGGTGCAGCGTATGAGCGGGCGGTGCAGCGTATGAGCGGGCGGTGCAGCGTATGAGCGGGCGGTGCAGCGTATGAGCGGGCGGTGCAGCGTATGAGCGGGCGGTGCAGCGTATGAGCGGGCGGTGCAGCGTATGAGCGGGCGGTGCAGCGTATGAGCGGGCGGTGCAGCGTATGAGCGGGCGGTGCAGCGTATGAGCGGGCGGTGCAGCGTATGAGCGGGCGTTGCAGCTTATGAGCGGGCGGTGCAGCGTAGGAGCAGGCGGTGCAACGTATGAGCGGGCGGTGCAGCGTATGAGCGGGCGGTGCAGCGTATGAGCGGGCGGTGCAGCGTATGAGCGGGCGGTGCAGCGTATGAGCGGGCGGTGCAGCGTATGAGCGGGCGGTGCAGCGTAGGAGCAGGCGGTGCAGCGTATGAGCGGGCGGTGCAGCGTATGAGCGGGCGGTGCAGCGTATGAGCGGGCGGTGCAGCGTATGAGCGGGCGGTGCAGCATATGAGCGTGCGGTGCAGTGTATGAGCGGGCGGTGCAGCGTATGAGTGGGCGGTGCAGTGTATGAGCGGGCGGTGCAGCATATGAGCGTGCGGTGCAGCGTATGAGCGTGCGGTGCAGCGTATGAGCGGACGGGCCATCGTATGAGCGGGCAGTGCAGCGTATGAGCGGGCGGTGCAGCGTATGAGCGGGCGGTGCAGCGTATGAGCGGGCGGTGCAGCGTATGAGCGGGGGGTGCAGCGTATGAGCGGGCGGTGCAGCGTATGAGCGGGCGGTGCAGCGTATGAGCGGGCGGTGCAGCGTATGAGCGGGCGGTGCAGCGTATGAGCGGGCGGTGCAGCGTATGAGCGGGCGGTGCAGCGTATGAGCGGGCGGTGCAGCGTATGAGCGGGCGGTGCAGCGTATGAGCGGGCGGTGCAGCGTATGAGCGGGCGGTGCAGCGTATGAGCGGGCGGTGCAGCGTAGGAGCAGGGCGGTGCAGCGTATGAGCGGGCGGTGCAGCGTATGAGCGGGCGGTGCAGCGTATGAGCGGGCGGTGCAGCGTATGAGCGGGCGGTGCAGCGTATGAGCGGGCGGTGCAGCGTATGAGCGGGCGGTGCAGCGTATGAGCGGGCGGTGCAGCGTATGAGCGGGCGGTGCAGCGTATGAGCGGGCGGTGCAGCGTATGAGCGGGCGGTGCAGCGTATGAGCGGGCGGTGCAGCGTATGAGCGGGCGGTGCAGCGTATGAGCGGGCGGTGCAGCGTATGAGCGGGCGGTGCAGCGTATGAGCGGGCGGTGCAGCGTATGAGCGGGCGGTGCAGCGTATGAGCGGGCGGTGCAGCGTATGAGCGGGCGGTGCAGCGTATGAGCGGGCGGTGCAGCGTATGAGCGGGTGGTGCAGCGTATGAGCGGACGGTGCAGCGTATGAGCGGGCGGTGCAGCGTATGAGCGGGCGGTGCAGCGTATGAGCGGGCGGTGCAGCGTAGGAGCAGGCGGTGCAGCGTATGAGCGGGCGGTGCAGCGTATGAGCGGGCGGTGCAGCGTATGAGCGGGCGGTGCAGCGCATGAGCGAGCGGTGCAGCGTATGAGCGGGCGGTGCAGCGTATGAGCAAGCGGTGCAGCGTATGAGCGGTAGGTGCAGCGTATGAGCGGGCGGTGCAGCGTATGAGCGGGTGGTGCAGCGTATGAGCGGGCGGTGCAGCGTATGAGCGAGCGGTGCAGCGTATGAGCGAGCGGTGCAGCATATGGGCGAGCATTTCAGCGTATGAGCGAGCGGTGCAAACCCCTCTTTCCCTCCTCCCCCTTCTCCAGATCCGTTCTACGCGGACCGGCTCATCCACATCCAGATCCTCTTTTTGACTAAGCAAATCGCTGCCCCGTAAAGATATGGCTCCAACCTGGGGCTACATTGTTCTACGCGGACCGGCTCATCCACATCCAACCCCTCTTTTGCCTTCCCTCCCCCCTCCTCCCCTCCCTCACCCCACCCCTTCAGATCCGGGGCATGCACACTCTCATTCGCAATCGTGACACGCGCAAGCACGACTTCGTGTTCTACGCGGACCGGCTGATCCGGCTGGTGGTGGAGCACGGGCTGGGCCACCTGCCCTTCGTGGAGAAGCAGGTCGTCACCCCCACCGGCTCCACCTATGTTGGTGTCGACTTCTGCAAGAACCTCTGCGGGGTTTCCATCATACGCAGGTACACGTTCAGGCACATTCATGTACATTCAGGCACATTCAGGCACATTCATGTACATTCAGGCACATTCAGGCACATTCAGGCACATTCATGTACATTCAGGCACATTCAGGCACATTCAGGCACATTCAGGCACATTCAGGCACATTCATGTACATTCAGGCTCATTCAGGCACATTCAGGCACATTCATGTACATTCAGGCACATTCAGGCACATTCCGGCACATTCAGGCACATTCAGGCACATTCAGGCACATTCAGGCACATTCAGGCACATTCAGGCTCATTCAGGCACATTCAGGCACATTCTGGCACATTCAGGCACATTCAGGCATATTCAGGCTCATTCAGGCACATTCAGGCACATTCAAGTACATTCAGGCACATTCAGGCACATTCAGGCACATTCAGGCACATTCAGGCTCATTCAGGCACATTCAGGCACATTCTACATTCAGAAACACCTGGGCACCTTTTATGCACGTTGCAGGAGTGTTTGTGTTTGAAGGCTCATGCCGCTCTTGCCGTGTCCTGTGTTTTCTGATGTCATGATTGCTGGCATCCATGCTGTCATGCGTACTGCCATACATGCTGTCATGCGTACTGCCATACATGCTGTCATGCGTACTGCCATACATGCTGTCATGCGTACTGCCATGCATGGTGCCATCGACAACTGCAGTGGCGAGAGCATGGAGAATGCGCTGCGAGCATGTGTGAAGGGCATCCGCCTGGGGAAGATTCTCATTCACCGTGAAGGGGACGACGGGAAGGAGGTGAGCGATGATGGGAAGGAGGAAAGATTATGGGAAGAAGTTTGACTGAGGAGGGCATTAAAAGTTGGTTACCCTCAAAATGCCATTTGCCTGCTGCTCGCCTTAGTTCCTTACCGCTGCACATGTGTTCTGCTTCTGACTGCCATCCATTATGCCATGTCACACAGGTGATCTACGAGAAGCTTCCAAGCGACATCGCGTCGCGCCATGTGTTGCTCCTCGATCCCATTCTTGCATGCGGTATGTCTGTGCTCGGTGCCGTGTGCTGTGTACTCCGTCCCGTGTTCTGGTTTGTTGCTCAGTGCATGAGATTCTCGTTTCCACCAGCCACTCATGTGCTGGTTCTGTGTACTCATGCATTCTTTGCTGCGCAAGGCAATGCGTGCTGTGCATGACTGGGCTTCCGTGAGTGTGTTACCAAGCCGGTCCATCTGTCCCCTCCACCACCGCCGCGCACAGGCAGTTCAGCCATGAAGGCCATTGAGACGCTCATCGCCAAGGGCGTGCCGCAGTCCCGCATCATCTTCCTCAACCTCATCTCCGTGAGTGCCCTCTCTTGTACACGTTGAGTACCCTGTCCTGTTTCACAGTGCAATTCCAATCAGTTTCTCATCTCTCTCTCACCATTCCCTTCAGTAATTGCCGCATATCAGCTACGCTGTAGCCTAACCAGGCATCATTCCTACCTCTTCTCTGATTGTACCCACCCCCTTCGCATTCTCCTCTCCCCATCACCACATCCACTTCCTTCCCTCACCTGTCCCTCCAGGCGCCTGAGGGCATTCACACGCTGTGCCATGCGTTCCCGCGCATCAAGATCGTGACATCGGAGATCGACGTAGCCATCAACGACCACTTCCGAGTCGTGCCGGGCATCGGCGAGTTTGGCGACCGCTACTTCGGCACCGATGATGACGACGAGGGGGGCGGTGCCAATGGGCTGCCGCTGGGGGATAGGAGCGGCAGCAGCAGCCGGTGATCCTGGGATCCGAGTCTGGATGTGAGAGAGCCTGGATTGTTCAAGTTTGACGGCTTCCTGTCTGGAAATGGTGCTGGTGAGGAGGATGAGGCCAGTGGGAATGGGACGCCTTTGGGAGAGGGGCAGCGGTGGCAGGCGATGGCAGCTGCAGTGGAAGCAGTATGGTGGATGCCAGTTGTGTCCAAATAAAAGGGTGTCTCGCTTCTGGATAGCAGCAGCGAGGTTTTGGGAAGAGCTTTAATGGTCCTAGGAGGAAGTGCATGCGAAGTTCCATGTATGGAGCACAGCAGTGGAGATGATGGTACTACTATGTATTCTGACCAGACTCAACCCTGGGCTGGCTTGGGCAGCACCCCCCTTGAGTGCAAAGAGGTGCCATGTTATGGAGAATGTTGATGTTCCATTTCGTTGTTTACCATGACTAATGTCCATTTTGAATGAACCCCATTTGTGTCGAGGCATATTTCCTTTTATTGGTTCCTATTCTTTGGTTTTTGAGCAAGGCAAATGTGGGGCGAATGTTATAGAAGCATTCCCTTCATGTCACAACTATGGTCACATTCTCTTGACATAATAATAATGTTGATGCTGATGCTAATAATGAAGATTCAAGCTAGCTAGCTGTTACGGGTGCAACGAATCGAAGTAGCGAGAATTGCACTAAGGTGTCAAACGAGAACAAAGATGTGAGCGAAGGCATGAGCGAACATTTATACGCGAAACATACAAACGGTAACGCGGTGCGTGCGAGCTAGCTAGTGCTATGCTGGCAGCGAGGCTCGGGCTAGTCCCGAAGCGTAGGCCGACATGGCCGGGCCAGCAGTGCGAGGTTTGGCAAAACAGTGCGCGCGAAGTTGGCGAAGTCCCGTTAGCAGTAACGGGCGAACAACGGCGGTTGTTGTACGCGATGTAGTCGGGCTCCGTAAGGAATGCCGAGAAAATTCCTCACACTACCCCCCCCCCTTCAAGAAGCCCCCTCCGCTACGCGAGTGCATGTATATCGCGAAATCCCCGGCTCCTCAGGTACACTTGCAGGGCAGGGTGGTTTTCAATGTTGGCCAGGGGCACCCAGCTATCTTCAGTTGGCGTACAGTCCTTCCAGCGAACGAGGAATTCCATCCTCCTGATTCCCGTGGGGTGGCGAATCCAATGACTCAGAATTTCTTCAGGTTCGATGATCGGCTCTGATGCAGGGCGAGTCATGGATGGCGGGCGGTGGCGAGGCAGTTGGCTTGTGGTTGGGATGTATGGGCGAAGCAAGCTGACGTGGAACGAAGGGCTGATGTACCAGTCGGTCGGTAAAAATAGGTGCGCGGTTACTGGCGTGATCATGTGGCTGATTTGGAATGGGCCACAGTAGCGCAGTCGAAGTTTTGGTACGTCGCGCAGTCGCAGATTTTGCGTATCGAGCAGTACGTAATCCCCTGACTGGTATGTGACTGGGCGGCGGTGGCGGTCAGCGTTGCGCTTAGCAATGACGTTTGCTTTTTTAATTGCTTCTGCGGCTCTAGTGCGGGCAGCTTGCAGAATTTTGGCGAATTGTTGTGCGCGTGGTGTTGGGTTGTCCGGACTCGGCGTCATGGGCACTGTAGGATTTTGGTTGTAGTTCAGGTAGAAGGGGGACTGTTGCGTCGTCGCTGACGTGGCGTTGTTGTACGCGAACTCAATCAGCGGCAGCTGCTGCTCCCAAGTCGTGGGGTCGTCGCATGTGGCACGAATCAACTGCTCCATCATCTGATTCGTCCGCTCCGTTTGACCGTCGGTCTCGGGGTGGTACGACGAACTGAACTGTAGCCTGGTCTCGAACTGCTCCCAGAGGTTCTTCCAGAAGTTGCTGGTGAACTTCGTGTCCCTGTCGCTGATAATCGCTGGAGGTATCCCGTGCAGGCGAACAACGGCTGCGATGAACAGACGAGCGGTCTCCTCGGTTGAGATCGACTTTTTGCACGCAGCGAAGTGTGCCATCTTCGTCAACTTGTCAACAACGACCATCACCGCGTCGTTACCCCCAGGGTTCGAAGGTAACCCTGTGACAAACTCCATGGTAACTGTCAGATTTATATGACATAGTTATTGTAGGCTATAGTGGGGTAGCCCATATGGGGTACAACAATCTAGGGGTTTACATTTGTACCCAACTTTCACTTAGTCATTCATTCCTCGTTCTAGTTTTCTCATGGTATCGAGCAGGTTCCCTCGTGGGAACTGTTCCTAGGGCCCACCAATTCGATTTTTTTTCCTGCCCGGAGCACACTCAGCCCCTGCCCGAGTCGTGCTCCCCTCTCTCGACCCTATCGCGCCACCTTAGCGGCCCCGTCGCGTCGCGCTAGCGGCCCCGTCGCGTCGCACTCGCGGCCCCATCCCGTCGCGCCGCCCTCGCGGCTGCCCTCGCGGCCCCGATCCGCTGCCCTAGCGGCCCTGTCGCCTACTCCTGCGGCCCCGGCGCTGCCCTTCCCGGCCCCGACACCGCCCTTCCTGACCCGGCCCCGCCTCTGCTGGCCCCGTCGCCTACCCCTGCGGCCCCCGGCGCCGCCCTTCCCGGCCTCGATCAGCCGCCCTGCGGCCTCGTCGCCTACCCCTGCGGCCCCGGCGCCGCCCTTCCCGGCCCCGATCAGCCGCCCTGCGGCCCCGTCGCCTACCCTGCGGCCCCCGCGCGGCCCTTTCCCGGCCTCGACGCCGCCCTTCCCGACTCGGCCCAGCCTCTGCTGGCCCCGTCGCCTACCCTGCGACCCCGGCGCCGCCCTTTTCCGGCCCCAGCGCCGCCCTTCCCGACACGGCCCCGCCTCTGCTGGCCCCGTCGCCTACCCCTGCGGCCGCGAGCCGCCCTTCTCGGCCACGGCGCTGCCCTTCCCGGCCCCGCCCCAGCCGCTGCTGGCCCCGTCGCCCGCCCTTCCCAGCCCCGGCCCCGCCTTCACGCGGCCCCGCCGTCACCACCGAGCCGCCAGCGCAACCCGGGCCGCCCGAGCTGCCGCACCACCTGAGCCGCTCGAGCCGCCGGAGCACCGCACGCCGAGCCGCTGTACCGCCGACCCGCCGAGTCGCCGAGCCGCAGTTGCCGCCGAGCAGCCCGAGCCGCCCGAGCCGCCGAGTCGCCGAGCTGCACTTCCTGCCGAGCCGCTGAGCCGCCCGAGCCGCCCTGTCCGGTAAGAGCAGCGCCTCTACCACTGCACTGCCCTTACCCCACCGTTCGCGCTGCTACTCTACTGCTGTCATGGCTACCCCTAGTGTCCTCGCTTTTGACGCTGACGGTCGCGCCATTGACTTTGACGTCTGGGTAGATGACCTGTAGCTTTTCTTACAGTGCGATAGGGCGGACGGTCTCTCCCTCTTTGACCTCACCTCTAGTGCCTCTCCTGCCCCTGCTGCTGATGCTGACGCCACTGTTCACTCATAGTGGGCCACGCGCGATGCTGCTGCACGTCTTGCTGTGCGTCGCCACCTGCCTACCTCTGAGCGTGCGCACTTTAGCCAGTACAAGAGTGCTCATACCTTATACGACGCTGTAGTTGCACGCTACTCCTCCCCTGCCACTGCTGCACTAAGCCGTCTCATGCTACCGTACCTCTTCCCTGACCTTGCTGCCTTTCCCACAGTCGCTGACCTCATTACGCACCTCCGCACTAGTGACACTCGCTACCGCGCTGCGCTTCCTGCTGAGTTCTGCGCCAAGAACCCCCCCCCCATGTACATCACCCTCTACTACATAGTCAACCGGCTCCCTGATTCTCTTGGCGTAGTTCGGGACCACTTCCTCTCAATTTGCCCCGCCACTCTCACCGTTGACCTCCTCGAGAAGACCCTCCTAGCAGCAAAGAAGAGCATAGTAGCTATAGGAGCCTCCCGTAGTGACCCTCGCACCCCCATCTTTGAGGGGTGTTCCCCCTCCCCCATTTTGCCCTCTGTTGCCTCTGCTGCTACAGCCATCCTCGTTGGGCTTGAGTCGGTCGGTGCGGCGTCTACCCCTAGCGGTAGACGCCGCCCTGGCAAGGGCAAGGGGGGCAGGGGCGCTGGAGGGGCTAGCGGGGGCGGTGGAGGCGGCGGTGGAGGCGGCGAAGGGAGTGGGGGTGGCGGTGGGAGTGGTTGCAGGGGTGGAGGTGTCGGTGGCGGCAGTGGAGGCGGAGGCGGCGGTGGCGGTGGGAGCGGAGGTGGCGGAGGTGGCAGCAGTGGAGGAGGCAGTGGCGGAGGAGGTGGAGGTGGTAGGGGTGGCGCTGCGCAGAGGGTCGGCTCCGGTGGTGGTCCGCGCCAGCAGCAGCAGCGCACTCGTGACATCCCCCCTCCTCTGCAGCTCCGTGAGTGGTACGCTGCACGTCAGCGAGGTGGGGGTACTAGTCCGTGCACCTACGTCCTACGCACCGGCGACCGCGCGGGTGAGCAGTGTGGGGGTGCGCACCCCACCCAGCGCTGCTTTGGCCGCCTTACCGACGCTTGGCGTCACCAGTTCCCGGACGCCACTGAGATCCCCCGCTGGGGTGAGCTGTCTAGGGCGGGAGTAGCTATCTTTGACCTTGACTTTGATACTATTCTTGCTGCTATGTATGCTGTGACTATTAGTGATGAGGGTGACTGTTACCGGTGTATTCCGCCCCACCCGAGCATTAAGACTGCTGCTCTAGGTACTGGTGAGGCTACTGCTCTTGGTGCTAGCGAGGCTGCTGCTCTAGGTGCCAGTGCGTCTGCTTCCTCAGGTGGTGGTGAGTCTGCGCTCTCAGGTACCGCGTCGGCTTCGGCCTCCCTCACCTTCACCCTTAACTCAGGGGCTTCTCGCTCCTTCTTTCGAGACCGCACCACACTCACGCCGCTCGGTCGGCCAGTTGCAGTCTCTCTGGCAGACCCCTCTAGGGGTCCTGTCCTTGCTCACTTCTCCACAGTCCTCCCGTGTCCGGCGGCCCCCTCTAGCACCCTGTCTGGCCTGTACCTCCCCTCGTTCTCTACGAACTTGGTGAGTAGTGCTACCCTACAGGATGGGGGAGTTCACTAGTTCACTCCTCCGAGCCAGCGGG